TTGTGTGGCAATCTGTGATCTTGACCGGACGCAACGCTAGCCCCTGCCTGGGCATGCGGTTTTTTTGCCCTCTACCTCTTTCTCTGAACGAAATCCGCGCAAATTCAGGAATAGATGGACACCCTGTCAAGCACTAGACTCATTCTCTTGCAACGTAAGGACACACCCACGACGTTGTTATCCTATAATGTATAAATGGCAATATGATGCAATGCTCATTGGCCGAATCACTTTGAGGGCGGCATGCCGGCTGAATGCAATGACGCCTTGTCTCTGCGCAAGAAAGGTGATGCAGCAGCTGGATGGGCCGAGCGGTGGGCCGCATGAGCCCCACACCCACAAGCACATGAGAGTACACCAACCAAGACACATGTATGTCAGGGATGCATCCACACCATGAAGCAAACAGAGTTGCACGGCGGCGTTGTGAGCAGGCATCTGGACATTAGTTTATGTGGTGGACAGTTGATGAGGAGTCTTGCTATCGCTGGCGTCTTGGCATGGAGGGTGTTGAGCATACGCGCTCATGCCAGTCGCCCTGTGCAATAATGATGTCAGGCCAGCCCTGCCCGCAGCTGCCGAGCGCTGTGGGGGTCGCCCAGCAGAGGTCCCTGCCTCGGGGCAAGTGGGATTCTTCTGTGCAGTCCACACACCTACCCCAAATCCGCAAGCCGCTGCCGTGAAGGATGAGCGACGACATCAAGCCCGCCATACTGCCGCACCGCAACGCCTCACACGGCAGCGCCCCCGGCCTTTGGCGCCGCCGCCGCGTCGCCGCCCAGCACAACGCACACGCTGTTCCCCGTCGACGATGCCGACGGCGACCGCGGGACTGCCTCGGGGTCGTCTGTGCGGGCGCCCGCGCCGACGGGCGCGCGCGGTGCGGCGCGGTCGGCGGGCACGCCACCCGTGGCGATCACGAGGAAGCGCAGTGCGAAGATCAGCGCCCCCGTGGCCACCAGGAGCAGCCCCATGATTACGGTGAGCCACGTGAAGCCGCCCTGCGGGGTGGTGGTGTACGAGTGTGTGTGTGTGTGTGTGTGTGTGTGTGTGTGTGTGTGTGTGTGTGTTTGTGGGTGGGTGGGTGGCGGTGCGCGCCGGCCGCGGCACCATGGCGAAGTTTGCGTGCCGGCGTGCTGGGGCTGTGTGCAGTGGTCGCTGGCAAGTCGCAGCTAGGATTTTCACAGCAACTAGCTTCTATGCGCTGCGTACGTGAGGCTTGGGGGTGCGTGACCAGAGGTGTGTGTGTGCGTGCCGGTGACATGAGATTGTTTCCACATGCAGAGCTGGGATCCACCCACCCCTGGGACCCCCCCCAACCCAGCCACTCCCCACCAGTGTGTTGATGATGGCGCCAGCCATCAGCGGGCCCGCGACCCCGCCCAGCACCGCAAAGCTGCTGAAGACCGGCATCGCCACAACCTGGGACGCACAGGTGCATTTGGGATAGTGGGTTTGAATGAACGATTTGCTATTCTTTAGTTCCCAGAAGACATGGGAAGATAATCGAGGCCTTGGCTAATGGTTGACTCAGGGAGCCCCCTTGAAGTCCCGTGCGCTGGAGGTTTTCTTATAACAACGACCAACCTGCTCCGGCCCCTTGCACAGCCGCGCCACCAGCGCCGTCGCCGGCCCGTTCGCCGCCGCGCCCATCGCCAGCGACAGCGTCAGCGACGCGAACCCGCCGGCCACGCTGGCGCCCGCCATGACTGGGAACAGCGCGAGCAGCGTCCCGCTGAGCAGCAGGCACAGGGACACGTGGAAGAAGTGCTCGTTGCGCCGCTGCGCGCTGTGGGCGACGGCGTAGGCCGCGAGGGAGGCGAGGGTGTAGGGGACCACGGCGAGGGCGACGGGCAGCAGGGACTTGCTGCCCTTGTCGGCCGCCACGCTGACCTGGTTTGTCAGGGCCTGATGTTTGAGGGTCGAGTGAGCAGAGATTGTGCAGACTTGTGTACGGTCGGGGGCTGTGTTGGGGCCTTGCTGCGGGTTTCGTTTGGGGGGCTGTGTTTTTGGGCGTTGATGGGGGCTTTGTTGGAGCTCTGTTATGGGCTTTGATGATCCAAGGATGCGTGGGTCAAATCAGCTGGCGGTGTGGTGATGCAGGTTTGCGCCAGTCGGTTCGGTGCGGGATGCATGGTGTAGAAACGTACCAGCAGCATTGCAACCTGCTCCCCCCATATCTATGCCCACCTTGCCACTGAGCAGTGCGTTGATGATGATAGGCCTGATGGGAGTTTAATGCAGTTGATGGGGAGGGAGGGCGGGTCAGCTCAGAATCGCGCTGCGAGCACAGCAAACGGGCGTCTCCGGTTTGATCTGTTGGCCGACATCACCATGCTTCGATGTCGCAGCCATGTGAGACTGCAAAGCTCGACACACAGCCGGTGGACCAGCTAGGTCAGAGCAAAAAGCTTTTGAAGCCTGGCGCACGTGTATGTGAGGTACGTGTGTGACGCCACCGACGACAGCGCCCCCGCTAGGAACGCCATCCACAGCCGCCAGTTGCCCGCCATCAGCCGCAGCAGCGCCAGCGCGCCCCTCAGGTCGCCCGCGGCCGGCCCTGGGGCGTGGTCCCGCGCGTGCTCCAGGGACAGCGCGACGCGCTCGACGGGGGTCAAGAATTTGGCGGAAGGTATGGATGAGGGGAGGATGAGGAAGACGAGGATGCCCAGGATGACTGAGGGCATGCCCTCCACCAGGAACAGCCACTGCCAGCCCCTGAGGGTGGGGGACGGGAGGGGAGGGGGGCGGGTGTGAAATTTCACTCCATGCGAGAAAGACTGAAAGGGATGTGGGCCTGCAGTCGAATAAGGGACTGGCATGGGCATCGCGCGTTGGTGGTGCGGGTCAGCCGTGCAACTGTTACTTGCCGAATCTCTCCCCGGACAAAGCTCTGCTCAGGCTGCCCGTCCACCATCATGACTGATTCAAGTCTCAGCTGCCTGCTCTACTTCCTCTGCGTGCTCCCCAGGCTCTCCTCACTTGAGCCGCCTGATGCCGTCCATGGCCAGCAGGCCGGCAGCGATTGGCGCACCAATCATGTTGGCAACCATCGTGCCGACTGGCCGCAAGTAAGTGGGTTCAAAAGTCCGGGTTGGTTCGGGGCAGTCTTTGGCTGCCCAAGGCGTGGGGTCACTGGATGCGTGCAACGGTGTGCCCTCGCATCCCACCTTTGCGCCAGGTGTACCATGTTCACAGACAAAGTAGCAGTGCGTACTAGCATTGTGCTGAAAAACTCCCACCCTCCAATCCAGCCTCCAACTTGAGCCGGCTGCTAGCACTCAATGAATGCCGAACTCACTTGTCAGAAATGCAAACGGCTTGGTGATCCTACAATGCAATGGCGTGGCGACGTGGATGCCGCTAACTCCGTTGTTCTTGCACAACTCAAGCAGGTGGAGCCGACGCCATCCGCGAGACATAACGTCTACCTCACGCACGGACAGCATAAGTCCAGCAGGGCTGATCAGACCCCACGCGTGCGCGCAAACGTCCGCCCTCCCTGCCAACCAGGCGCACCTGCTGCGTGGAAAAAACACTGACAGCGTGTGCCACATCGCCGGGAACGCGCCGGCCTCGAATGCGCCCAGCAGCGCGCGCAGGAGGTAGAAGCTGCGCGGGGTGGTGATGAGCGCAAAGCAGGCCGCGACGGCGCCCCAGGCGCAGAGCAGGAAGGCGAGCCAGAGGCGGGCGCCCACGCGGGCCATCACCAGGTTTGAGGGCAGCTGGGTGTGGAGGGGCGTGGTCCGGTTGGACGTGCCTTCCTTAGTGGGGGCGATCAGGCAGCTTCCCGCCTGCGCGTTATGCGCCGCTCACCGCTGGCCGACATCGGGCCCCAGCCGCAGACCCAGGCAGGGTGCTTGTTGCGCGATACTTACCATCCCCCAGTCCCCGTGCGCAAACGCCTCCCTGTGCCTAGCGTGCATCTGGTGTTTTAGCTCTCGACACTAAATGCAGACCCCTGGACTATTTCTGAGTCCCTAAACCCTGCAACCTCCCACCATCATGACCATGAAGCTGGCGTAGAAGCAGGCCGTGCCAATGGAGTAGACCTTGCCGCTGAAGCCGTTGTCCCGGTTGAAGGACAGCGCGGCGTAGGCCAGGCTGCGCGCGGGGGCCAGGCAGGCCGGGCGGCTCGGTTGTGTTGCGCAGCACGGGGGAAACACCCCACACCCGCTTTCTATCAAGATTCAGGGCAGCTAGCGGGTGTAGATCGCGTAAGATGCTGCTGCTGCAATTGTGTATCAATATCAAACTGAACCATCTGTACAGGCGTCTGCGGAGGGCGGCGGGCATCAGTGTGGCGGCGCCAGGCAGCCCCCATGGACAATTTCAGGGGGCCTTCCCAAGCACTCATTTCAAACTCGCGGTACCCTGCACTCACTTGGAGCGGTCCATGTGATTGGTAATGGCTATCAGCATTGTCAAAGGTATCAACCGCCTGCCCGCCTTCCGTAGAGCACTCTCGAGTTCTGGCGCGGCGGCGGCGCCGCCGCTGCAGTCCCCGCCCTTGTGCGGGGCGTGCGTCTTGTCGCCGCCATCCTTCGACCTACTAGGTTCTAGAGTGATGTTGAAAACTCCCATCACACCGGGACAGCTTCTGGTCGCCTAGCACCCTGATGAGCCCGTGCGCGGTACGAACGTAGTTGATCGGCCGGGGTGTGCGCGAGGTAAGAGACACGGTACTTTGAATCATATGATACATTTGAATGTTTTAGACGTCATCAATCCGTCAGTCTGTAATTGATGGTTCTAGTGGACTGCAAGGCGCGAAAGCCGTGGAATGGCGAGTACAGTGAGCAGAGCGCGTGTGGTGAGGTTCGTATCCTCGGTCGTACGGATGGTTGATGATTTGTGCTGCACCTGCATCACTATCAGGACATGCAGCGGTTCGCACACCATACAACATGCGAAGTGGTTGCGCGCACGTGCGACTGTGGGAGTCTGATCTATGGTGTGCTGGTCCACTTGCCTCGCGCGGGCCGTTTGGCAACTATGGCACCCTCAATCAGCACGCAAAGACACTGAGCCTGAGTGACCAAGGCGCCAATAGCGCTTGAGATCCTGTGAGGCAGCTGGCCGCCGCGCCGCTTGACGTTGCTGGCTGTGCAGGGCGCATTGCCGGTGAGGCCCGAGCTACCAGCTGGATCGAAGGGAGATGAGGACCAACGTATGGGCCTCAGCTTGCAGATGCGGTCAAAGGCTGAGATTCCTTATGCTTTTGAGACGCGCACACCTGCTGCCCAGTGCCGCGAATTCGCAGCGCTTCGCCGCGTCGCCTTTGCGCTGAGCAAGCGCCATTCCCGCCTGACGCCAGCCCTACCTACAGACCCCTGCCCCATACCCGTGCCCCCGAAGCACAGCTGATTTAAGGCGACTACACAGGTTGAAAACATACAATGACCCAAAAGCAACCTGACCAAGCTGATTGCAGACTCCACATCAAGCGGCCTGCCGTCACGCCTGCGCCAGGCGTGTCCCGGTCCCTCCCCGGGGGTCAGCCGCGGCCGCCACCTCCTCCCCAATTTGTGCTGAGAAGAGCGGCCACGTTATGCACAGTCAGTGCCGCCTCCGCTGCCGAGGCGCCGCCCCTGGAGGGAGCCGCGGCCGCCATGTCCATGGCTGCGGCGCGCTGCGCCGCCAGGGCGCCCACGTTCTCCTCTATGGTGTGCTCGACCTGATGAAGCCATGGGGGGGGGGGGAGGCGCACGCGTGTGTGTGTGTGTATGTGTGTGTGTATGTGTGTGTATGTGTGTGTGTGTGTTCTTTGGGGGGCAACCTTTACGGTGTGTTTGCTGAGCAGCGAATTAATCACTCGAGTGTGTCTCAGAGCCGAACAGCAGCATCCCCGCACACGCCTCAACGCCGCCTCCGCCCCTCCCAACCCTCCCCGCGCCCCGCACCCGACACGAACTGCTCAGCGCGCAGCAGTGCGGCGATTGCAGGCGTGGGATCCCGTGTGCAGTGAGGAAACAAAACCTCTCAGACACGCCCTGCCCCCAGACTTATCATCCCCGAAGCAACCCTCATGTACCTTCCAATAGCCCCCCAGCCAACCCCAAAAGGGGCAACCCCGCACCAGGAATCGGTGCACGTGTGCCGCCCGCCGCTGGCCCAGCCGGTGCACGCGCCCTATGGCCTGCACCTCCAGCGCGGGGTCCAGCAGCGGCTCAGCAAACACCACGTGCTGCGCCTCGGTCAGGTTGAGGCCCAAGCCGCCCTGGCTCACGAGCAGCAGCAGCACGCGCGCCGACGCAGACGCAGGCGGCGCGGGCGCGGGCGGCACGCCTTCTCCGTCGCCGCGAGGGCCCTCTGCCTGCCGCTGCTCCTGTGCTGCCTCATGCGCGGTGCCCGCCTCGTCCCTGGGGGCGTTCCCGGACGCCCGACGCGCCTCCTCGTCGGCCGCGGCCGCCGCCTTGAACTCCTCCACCGCCCTCACAAATCCCTGGCGCCCCCGCGCCTGCGCCGCGGCGACGCCGTTGCGCCGCAGCGCGTGGGCCAGGATGTCCAGCAGGTCAGACCACTGGGTGAACACCAGAACGCGCGCCGACGGATCCGATGCCATCAGATGCATCACGCGCCGCACCACCGCCTCGACCTTGCTGCCATATGACCCCGCAACTTTGACGTCGCGCTCCCCCACCCACCACCCGGGCTCAGCGGGCGGCGGCGGCGGCGCAGAGATGCTTCCCGCGCCCGCGCCGCCGGCGGCCGCGACGGCGTCGGCGGCGGCGGCGGTGGTCGTGACCGCGGCGTCTGCGGTGCCGTCGTCGACGTACGCTATGTCGGCGGTGTGGGCGCGCGCGCGGCAGGTGGGGCAGCTGACGCGCCGTTGCTGCCACGACAGGCCGGGCGGCAGACGAGCGGTCAGCGCCTCGGCGCAGGCGCAGCAGAGCTGGTGGCCGCAGGGCAGCACGGCGCAGGCTGCGCCGAGCTGCTCGTGGCAAATGGGGCACGGCTCGGCG